TTCGTTGTTCTTGACTGCGGATAACCACAGTCAATATCGACTGTTGTTTGATTTCATATTTCCGAAACGCCACCACGAAAACCTGCATAAAAAAATCTCAAAACACTTTTCAATAGGCCTTTTGAATAACGAGATTATATTCTAACCTTCGGATGAGTCGACATATTACCAGACCCTATACACGTGCATCCTGTAGAGCAATTACACTAAAGAAGTATACAGTGCCTTGTGTGTCCAATTCAACAACGTCCTCAGACTGTTGGGGCTGCCTCCGACACTGTAGTGCCTCAGAGATGTTCGTGGAGGCTAGAATTGATAGTTTTCGGGCAGTCGTTCGCAATAGAGTGGCATCCCTGTTGGCCAGAGTGAGAGGCAGCACCAACAGTCCTCTTAAGGTGGTAGCAGAGAGGATGGACAACCTAATCCTTAAGTATTGGATGTCCATCCTTGTTCATGAAAATTAACACTGCTTTCTACTAACTTAGTTGTAAGTACCTACTAACACCATCAATTAATCAACCAACCTATTGCAGTCCACTGCTGGACATAATCACACAACATCACCCGTTTTCCGCATCCAACCACTACCCGCGACCTTCTTCAGATCGTCGATCCATCTTGCAGGGGGACGTCCTACGTTACGTTTGACGAGACGTAGTCTCCACTCGAGAACCCGTCTACTCCATCGCTCATCGGTTCTGCGACAGATGTCGCCAACCCATTGCCACTTCAGCTTGCTACATTTCTGAACGTTGTCCACAATTTTAATCTTATATAGCTATAACTTCGTTCCGGACTTTATGCCTTGTCCATGACGTGAAGTCTGTGAGCCAGTTTGACCGTCACATTCTACGCCTCGGCTCCGTAAGTCACGACCAGAAGGACGCGTTGGTTGTAAGCCCTGGTTTTCAGGCACTGCGGGAGTGGTGACGAGAAAACATGACGCAGTGTCCCAAATGCTGCCCTACCCAGCTGCATTCTCCTAGCTATTTCAATCCGAAGTTGTCTCTGCCTAGTTTGCAGGGTTTGCCCGAGGTAGACATATTCTCGGACAACCTCGAACGTTTCTCCATTAATCAAGATCGACTCCGGGATGACGAGCTCATTGAAAAAGGCACACCATACGGACTTGTAACTGTCTGAAATAAATTGTTCCGTTTCATTTGAAACTTATCATACCAAGTAAAGGTACAAATAAGTCGTGCATCTGGTCGTAAGCGACACGCCTGTCCTAGTCTGCGATACGCCTAAGGATATTGTCTAAAGAAAGTGCCAATACGTTACACTGTAGACTAATTTTAACTGTTTTTGTAAGAGAGTTGTTTGCTCTATATTTTGCTATTTGAAACGGTTATTTAACCATTTGTCACTTAGTGGACGGCAGCTCGGTACTATAGTGCCACCGGGATCTTTGCGTTAGCCAATACATTCGTATTCGTATTCATAAGCAATTCTGCTTTCATGCCGTCTTGCAAAAGTAGCATCGCTGGTTCGAAGGTTCCGGGGGAGTAACAACAGCGTCCTGAAGGTTGTGGCTGAGTACCACAGAGAGTCCATTAGTGAAGCATCTCGTACGGACAATGATTTCGCACGAAATGCCTCGTAGGTAAGTACCTACATGACATTTTAGATTTTAATTAATTAAGTAACTAATATGTTATATAATATTCCTACTACCAATAGCTTATAAGTTTTATTTTCTCTATTATACTAACACCAATGGATCCTGTTATCTGAAAATAAATAATTTGAATTTGAATTAAAAAAACAAGTCTAAAACTAATTATTTCAGAATAAAGGACATTTTATTCTTTCTTTGCACATAATTTTTATATGCTGGCGGATTAAGGAGCCCACGAGGCAGTAGTCTCTTTCTGTGAAGCGGTGATGCTCTAGAAGGTCGACGACCGTACCATCGCTGCTGCGTGCGGTTGGAGCGGTCGTTTGCCAGTAACTTTGGCAGCCGCGAGGAGAACGACGGGGTGGTGAGGAGACTGCTTGTTCTGGTGGAAGGCCACAGTGGAGTTTAGCCGGTAGAAGTAAAGCTAAACAAGAGGCCATGCTACTATGGATAATATGGTTGATAAATATTACATTGCCAATTTTTGGCCACATTCTTCATTCTATGCAAATAGAGTAAACATAAATGGAAAATTAATTTAAACCAGCCCCTGTAGTATGGCTACACATGATAGTAGCGACGCGTGCGATAAAATTAAAATAATCGCGCGCTATTGGCTGTCTCAATCAGATCTAATTTAGATAGCCAATACGGCGCGCTTATTTCAATTTTATCGCGCGTCGCGACTATAACGCGTAGCCATGCTACGGGGCCAGCTATTTAAATTAAGAATAAAACTACCATAAAAATAGAAATTGTGTTCCATAATTAATCTTTTAACAGTTTGTAGTTAATTGATATTATACTACTTACAATGGTTTTACATAATGTGTTTCTAATTTTGGGTGAGTATTTTGACATAGTCAAAGTAAAAGAATATCTGGTAGATAGCCCCGGTGTGGCGGTGGCGCTGGTTCGGTTAGCTGGTTCGAAGGAACTTTTCTTTGTATTTGTTTGATCTTATTTAAGTTTTGTTTGTAAGTTCGATGTTTGTGGTAGCAGTAGAGCTCCTTGTGAAAGAGTTAGTCCAGGGTAGTAATGCCATCTTACTTAATTCTACCGCCAAGTGGAAAAGTAAACTTTACTGCGTTCCGGTTTTGAAGGGTTAGGGCGCAAGTATTCGACACGTCTTTCATCGCGCTCACTCCGCGCGGCCGCCGCGCGCGTCTTACTGTCATGGCAAAATACGCTCTATTTGTTAAGCTTTTAAGTTTTTAAATGAGCATCTCGGACACGCGGGTGAGTGCGAGTGAATTTCAATGTTGTTGCCTAGTAAATGGAATTCAGATTCGCAATTAATGTACATGAAGGTGTGGTAACTGGGCGGTCGCCGCGCGGAGTCCGCACGAAAACTTTCTCATTTCCTGAAGGTTCCGCACTGTCCGCAACTCTCTTTCTGCTGGATATCAGTTGTATGTTAATTCCAGGTGCTTTTGGGTATGCTGATGACAGCACAGTTGTGGACAGGTACTCGACCAATGCAAGAGTTAATGGAGAAGAAATCCAGTCTTGTCGAGAGTCCATTGTTAGTCGTTTCATTTAGACACTTAAGGCAGTCTCCGATTGGGGCGACGCCAATCTTGTCAATATTTAATGCTACCAACAGACAGGCGTGTCTATTCTCCATAAGACGGAGTCCCTTTCACCTGACTCCGACTTTTCGTGATATATCCATACCAATAGCCGACCGTCTCCAGTTCCTTGGAATGTCGTCCAATCTGAACTTCGGCAGATACATTAAATCCATGGCCAAAAATGCAGCAAGGAAGCTTGGCATCCTTTCCAGGGTGAGGCGTTACTATACACCGGGTCAGTTGCTTCAGCTGTACCAAGCACAAGACCGGTCGTGTATGGAGTACTGCTGCCACTTGTGAGATGGCTCTTCTAAATACCAACTGGCCACTTTGGATCCAATCAACAACCGTGCCAAGAGATTTATAGGTGAGTCGGAATTGGTGAAGGCGAAGCTACAAAGCCTTGAACACCTTGACATTGCCTGCTTAACGGTAGTTTAAAGGATATATCACGGAGAGTGCGATGGAATTGCACAATTTGATTCCGCCGTCCCCTTTCCATCATCGGGGGACTAAACGTGGGCTTGGGTTCCACTCCTATGTTGTAGATATTCTAAAGATTCGCACGAAGCATTATGCTTCCACATTTATATGGCGAACGGTTATGGAATGGAATTATCTACCTACGGACTTATTCCCCGATCGCTATAACTTGGACCTTTTCAAGGCGAGAGTGAATAGGCATTACTTAGGTGTGCCCGCTACATCGTCGATACCTGCTACACTTATTTTTATTATAAAAAAAGAATTAACCAGCACCCTTACCCTTCAAAACCGGAACACAGTAATGCTGACATTACTGCTTGGCGGCAGAAATAGGTCAGAGGATGGAAAAAAATGTCAGGTGATAGTACTTCCCTAGACGAACTCTTACGTAAGGAGCTCTTTTGCTACTCAATCAAATACACTAAAAATCAATCGACTTTACTTCACCCCTATGACAAAAGTCACGTGAAGTGTCGCAGGGTTCATCCTAGTTTGAGATTAGTATAGAAAAAAAAACGAATCAGAGTCGCTAATAATATGACTGCCTCCGTGGCCGAACGGTTGCCATGCAGAGGTCCTGGGTTCGATTCCCAGGCCGGGAGAAATATGTGTATGGCCTACATTTATTTCTTTCGTGAGTTTGGGTGTAATTTGTGGTTGTCTATGTGTGTGTCCATGGCACCCGCGACACAGGGTTTCCCTAGTGCGGGGCTATGTTGAGTGTGTGCGTTATTATTATTATTATTAATACAGACATTAAAAAACTCGACTCACCTTTTCGAGAACACAATAAGAAATTTCTTAATTTTCTCAATTCCAGCTATATTATTGACCACCGTTACATGCGATTACGCTAAGAAACAAGAAGTCGCGAGTGCGACTTCAACAAAATGGGTTAAATACGGAGTGAAAATGAACTTGAAGAAACCAGTGTACAAACCCCAAAATGAATATAACTATGATTG